TCACAGCAAAGGTCTTTGAAAAACTCCATACAGATTCATACCGAAGAATTTCTGTCATGCAGTTCTAGTTCTTTAATTATGTCATGAGAAACGTTTGTCCTCATCAAACAAGAATAGGCCTCAGTTTATATGATGTCGCTGGGCAAGAATACCTTCTGAAATCTGATTTAGAAAACTACATACTGGAAATTATCCCTACCTTGCCACAATTAAGATGGGCTGGGAAAATCCTTTTACTCCTTTTATGTTTGTACAGCAGTTAGAAAATTCTTCTTTTTAGATCCTCTAAGAACAGGGAAGATAAAAATTCAAGATATTTTAGCATGCAGCTTCCTAGATGATTTATTGGAGTTAAGGAATGAGGAACTATCCAAGGAAAGTCAAGAAACAAATTGGTTTTCTGCTCCTTCTGCCCTAAGGGTTTATGGCCAGTATTTGAATCTTGATAAGGATCACAATGCCATGCTCAGTAAAGAACTCTCCTGCTATGGAACAGCAATCATGACAAATGTCTTCTTAGATCACGTTTTCCAAGAGTGTCTCACTTATAATGGAGCAATGGATTATAAGACCTATTTGGACTTTGTTTGTGCATTAGAAAACAGACAGGAACCTGCAGCTCTACAGTATATTTTCAAACTTCTTGATATTGAGAACAAGGGATATCTGAATGTCTTTTCCCTGGGGACCAGCAGTTAGCATAATGGCTATGTCGCTGGACTCCCATGTAGTCGACCGTGGTTCAAGTCCCGGACCCAGTGGCTTAAACTCACTCTGGGCGCGTGTGCATGTGTGCCCAAGATCCCAAGAGGAGAATGGAGGAGAAGGGATTGTGGTGTGGCCATCCCCCTGGGGAGTGATTTCTCACTTTCTGTCTCTCTGTTTGTCTGTCTGTCTGGCAAGTGCACACGCCCTATAGCAAAAACCTCTCCAAATAAAGAAAAAAAAAAGGCTTTTCCCTTAATTATTTATTTAGGGCCATACAGGAACTAATGAAAATCCATGGACAAGATCCTGTTTCATTTCAAGATGTCAAGGATGAAATCTTTGACATGTAAAACCAAAGGATCCTCTGAAAATCTCTCTTAAGGATTTAATCAATAGTAATCAAGGTGACGCAGTAGCCACCATTCTAATCAATCTGAATGTCTTCTGGACCTATGAGAACAGAGAAGCTCTTGTCGTGAATGACAATGAAAACTCTGCACACCTTGATGACACATGATCTTTAAAAGACTAGGCTGTTTTCATTAATATATGGTGCAATGGTACATGCAAACCTTTGAAGCAGAATCCTTAGAAATGGTCTAAATAGAACACTTCATATGCCTATAGATCACAGCATATGTTTTGGTTACTGGTATTTTAATTGTGATAGTATGGAAGCAGTAGGAACAAATATTGCTTATGAGGAGATGGTAAAGTTTTTGTTCCATTTAGCTCAAAATTATCTTTTGTGATTTGATGTTTGATGAAGGTGTTCAGTTTAAGTTTATGTAATCTTTAAAGGTAAAGGAAGTTTACATAAACTGCTTTTTATATTAGTCATTCAGAATTTGAATATTTGAAAGAGTTTCTCTTAGGATGTTTTAATAAAAAGTATTCAAATTAAACCAAAATAAATTAAAATATTACTATGGCTTCTACCTCATTGTCAAAAAACAAATCATGAACCATGAGCAATAAAGGGATGGTAGCTGAGAGAGATGCCACAATCATATTATGATATTGAGTGGCTTGTACACATATGCCTGGGGAACTTTGGGAAACAGGAGGATGTAGAGAGGGAAGTATTTAAAAATAGGTGTCTTGTTCCAAGTAATAGTAACTGGCTAGTTTAAGGTAAATATTGCTAGATCTTTCATGGAGACCAAGAGTAAGGATGAACCCAGATTTTATTTATTTTTTTAAAGAGAGATTTTTGCTATTGAGTGCATGTGCTCACTGGAGAGAGATAGAGAGAGAGAGAGAGAGACAGTGAGAGATAGGGAGAAAAAAAGCTATAAATCAATCCCTCCCCAGGGGAATGGCCATGCTGCAATCCCTTCTCCTTCATTCTCCTCTTGGGATTTTGGGCATGCATGCACCTGCAGCTGGTGAGAGTTTTAAACTGCTGGGTCTGGGACTCAAGCCATAATGGACTACATGGAAGTCTAGCAGCATAATCATTACACCATTTGCTGGTCCTGCACCCAGTTTTCAGAAAAAAAAAAATTAGAAAAACATCTGGAATACCTTCTTCATCTATTACCTTCTATTTACCTTCACATATTTACCTTATTCTTATTACACATCAATTTTTTTTTCTGTTGTAATGTGATGACTAAATCCTCTCATTCAAAATAATAACCAGATTAAGGCTCACATAAGTTTTAATATTAGGTTTTTACGGGGTGCAAACTTGTTTCCATTTAAGCAACATGGCAATCCCTGGACCACTTATGTCAGGAGTGAAGAATGAATCATGTTTGGTTTAGCATTTGCTGTTCCTGCTCTGACATGAGGATTTGTGAGAAGACAGAATGCTAGGAGAATATGGACAAAAGACTGTTTCATTAAAATTATGATAAAACCTTTTTTATTTTAACTTGGATAAACAAATATCATAACTTTCTTTAGTATTAAAGACATGATATATGAGTCACTAAAATTTAATCAAACCAATGAGACTTACTGCTGCTCAGCTTTAAAAATGCACACATTCCCCTCAACTTTCTTAGACCCTTAAGATGTATTAGGACTTGCCTACCCTTCCTGCCATTTTCATAAAGGAATTTTCACTACCTTTCCTAAGAGAAGAGAGAACAATGAGAAGGTAATCTGACTTCAGCACCGACTATTCTTTTGTACTCTTCTTTTGGGCAAAGGAGTAAATTGCTTACTCAACTGATGTTGAAAGGAAGGGATCATACTTCTGTTTGTTTCAGCAAGCACAAGGCAGTGACCTTTCCCTCTTGTTCCTAAATTCATGACTCCAATCAGTGAGTTTAGAAGATTGGTCTGGGGTGTTGTAGAGGCAAGGTAAGAACATGGATATTTTTGTCCCCTGTTTTGAATGCACAATCAGTATGAGAAAAAACATCCATTTAGTGGATTTTGGAAGAAGCATGCAGATGTGTTAGAAATCTTATTTTCTCCACAATTCCAGGTAGTTTCTTATATTCTATTTTTGTCACATTAGTATTAGCTATTTTTTCCCATTTCATCTTCAATCACATCTGAGTAGAAATCTGATTTATTTGTACCTGTAGACCCAGAACATGGTACACGAATTGGATAACCCTTTGAGATGAACCCAAATATTGTAGAAGTTTAATGTATCGAATTTAGGTCACCTTTTTCCTACTACAGAAGTGGAAGCATTGTTCACTGGTGATAGATTTATTCTCCATCCAGCACAGGCCTGCATGCCAGGAATGAGGATTTTCTACTATTTTGACGAAAGCAGCATGACTGAGAAAGGAATTCAGGTCACCAAGAAAGGAAAGGTTCTAAGTTCCAGTGAGGGCTTGCTTCAATAGACACAATTTCTGTTGTTTCTTTTTGGTGTGTGTGTGTGTGTGTGTACATGTTTTTAAAAGGTTTTTAAGTTTTGTAACAAAAAATATTCTGGCTTTTTTAAAAATCTATGTTTCACTCTGGTTTCCACACTAGGAGCATCAACATCATCCTGGAACTTATCAAAATGTAAATTTTTAAGCTGTTCCCATTGCCTGGTGGTTAAGGGAGTCTCAGGCACAGTCAAATTGATTTAATTCATGTACTGGTCATTCCACAAACACTGAGGCAAAAGCCAGTGCTCTCCAGCGTCCTTCCGTCCTTCCTAGGGCACGTGAAAGGACAGAGGTGGGTGTTTGAGTGAGTGCTTGGTGCTGGAGCAGCAGCTTTAGGGGAGCAGTAGGGCATCCGTCTCTTCCCTGAGAGACCAGTAACAACACTGAATTGTTGAGCATGTAGGTTAAAAGAACCCTGTTTTCACATTTCCTAAATGCAGCTGTTCCACTCTCCAAGTGGTTGCAATATTGGGAAGGTAACTTCTGCCCTTGGTCCAAACCCCTTATTCAGCAGGTAATTTTTGCAGAACGTGTGTGGCTCTGCCTGGTCCTTAGCTCTCTCAGGCTCTGCCTGCTAAAGTAGAACTTCCAAGGCCTTATAAAATATGGTTTGTGACCAGCATCATTGTCATCACCTAGAAGGTTCTTAAAAATCAGACTCCTTTCATAGCTTGGGGCTCACCTTAGACACACAGAATCAGAACCTACTCTATAACAAAAACCTTAGGTAGCTCATATACCATTAACATTTAAGGAGCACTTACTTCATCCCCCCCTCAAATTTCCAGGATAATATAAATTAGTTGGGATTGGGACCAGCAGCTGATTTAGCTGGGGGTGAATTTTTTTTTTCCCCAAGAAGTTTTTGTTATAGGGTGCATGTGCTCTCCAGAAAGACAGAGAGAGACAGAGAGAGAGGAAGCTAGAAATCCCCCTCTGGGAGGATGGCCACACCACAATCCCTTCTCCTCCATTCTCCTCTAGGGATCTTAGGCACGCACGCACATGCACCCGGCATGAGTTTAAGCCACCAGGTCTGGGACTCGAACTACGGTCAACTACATGGGAGTCCAGCGACATAGCTATTACGACAACTGCTAGTCCCAGCTGGGGTGAATTTTTAAAAAGTAGAATCTCAAGGTGCATTCTGCTGTTTAAGAATCTCCAAGAAAGGGTCTTGGGGAAGTTTGGGAAACACAGAAAGCCCATCTATTCCAGTCTGGAGAAGCACTTCTCAAACTTTAGTGTGTGTTCACATCTTCAGGAACCTTGCTGACATACATGCTCTGATTCAATAGGTCCTGGCTGACACCTGAAATTCTGCATTTGAACAAAATGAATTAAAGTCTAGAAAGTTCCCAGTTGATGTTCATGCTGCTGGGTGATGGACAACACTTAATAGCAAGGTTAGAATCTCAGTGGACATAAAGCAATGAATAACTTTAGATACTTTCCTGGCAGGGAGATACCATGATCACAAAGGTGGTTTACCAGGGCAGGGCTTATCCATTGCACTCCAGAAGTGCTGACTCCTGTGATGTCCCTAAATGTGGGAAACTCTTGACTGCATAATTTGTGGTAGTGGAGGACTGTGTTCATGCTCTCCCTTGTTTAAAGAAAGAAAAATAACTTTAAATGTGTTGATGTGTTGTCTCTCTTTTGAACTCTCTTGGATTTGGTGTCCTAACATCCAGATTTACAGACAGTGTGCTACTAAGTCTGTTTTGGAACACAGTTCAAACACTGTTCTCTAACTCAGTTTTATATATAATAAAGCTGCTATTTTAATCTCCATATGTTTGACTCCAATGACTGTTCCTTATAAGGTTGAAAGTGTTTAAGCTCAAGCAAGATTTAATAGTCCCAGTGATTTTCTTTGAGACAAATTTCTAAATCACTTCTCCACATAGAGTAGGAGTCATATTTAACTCTGACCCCATCACCCCTTCCCAATAGTTTAAATAGTTTTGCCATAAAGATATTTCTACCCTAGCTAAGACTTTTGCAAGCTGCTTCTGAGGCCAGCTTTAATATGGACAACGTCTTTCTCTGTTTGAATCAGAGGAGAGAAATAAACATTCGATAACATTTTGTAATTCCTTTAAGGGGTGAGAAATTCCATTAAGAGAGAAATTCTGGGAGCACTTGGAAGAGGCAGCATGTGTCATTACCAAGTCATGGGTCTCCAGGGCTCAATTCATCTGTACTGATGGCACAGAGTTGGAGAATCCTAAAATAGAGGAAAAAGCAGAACTTTTGTGAGAAGTAAGTATACAAGAATTTACTGGGCACTAGTTTAATCTGAAAGGAGATACTTGGAAGAAAAGTAAATATTTTGTGGAATAGAGGAGAAGTGCATTTCTCATACTCTTTTTTTTTTCCCCCCTCAGAGGAAATAAGCATTGGAGGAGTAGGCTTTTTATAGTTAGCACTATCTTTTAGCAAATCGATGAGGGGAAAGGCCTTAGAGAGAAAATGAATCATAATCCAGGGAGAATTTAAATGATATAATAGAGTCTTTCATTAAAAGTTAGGTTCATACTTGAGAGAATATGTCAAAGATATTCTTTGGCTACCTTTCAAATAGTTTTGTTGCTGATGTTCTTTTATTCAGATATTCTTTTGTCCTGAGAGTTAAGAGACACACAGAGACTAAAACTTAAAAAAACAATCAGTAAACTGTGGTTTTTGATGAAAAAATAAATTCCAAAGGAAATAGAAAAAAGAAGATTCAAAACTAAGAGACAAGAGAATTATAGAGTAGAGTAGTTTAGCATCTGGTAAGTGTGTATGCTAGAGACTTACGTGACTAAGAAGGGAAAAACAAGAGTAGCCAGTGGTTGAGAACCTTTCTGACCCTGGTCCTTATGTGAAATAAAGTGAGTATATGTATTTTTCCATTTGTGTTGAGTTTCATTTTCATGTCAATGGTTCACATGTTGTACCTTAAAGTTTTTATGTTCTTCTTTATGGTCTTACTTAATAAGAGCTTGAATGTTACTATGTGTATTAAGATTCGATGTTATTGAAAGTATCAAATAAATGACTTTTATGACATCACCAGAAGAGATATAAGGAACCAATATTTATTGAATACTGTCAAGGTAATCTGATGTTTTTCAGTTGTATAGAATCAATGATCTCTTCCTAATTGAACCTCTTTTCCTAATGGGCAAATAATTCTCCTTTACTGTGTGTAGACTTTGTAGGCTGGCAATCCCAAAGGCAATCTTCCATCATGGAAGACTAATCAGGAGCTCTCTCCCAGGTATGTGAATCTCAAGCAATTGATACAAGTCTGAGAACAAATAGATGAAAGTTATGCCCCTTCCCCTGATCCATACTAGATTTTTCAGGCAGTAACACATTTTGTAATCTTTAACTTCCTGTTTGTTTCTCAGATCCAGAGCACCCATTGTTTCTTCTGAGCTCCAAATCTTAGACCCAAGGCTACAATTTTCTGTCAGTTCAGTCTCTACCCCACCACCTATTTGCCCCAAATATCTTTCCAGTAAATTCACTTTTGCATGAATTAGTCAAGTTATACTACTTGTCCAAAGAACTTATTTTGTGCAATACAAGATAAAATAATCACCTCCACTTAGTATATCTTATGAAAACTATTTAGAGCCCCCAAGATTAAATCATATTTTATATAAATAACATAGTGAATCATTTTGAAACATTAAATATAGCAAATGTATTTGCTATGCATCCATTATATTTCACATTGTTTCCTAAAAGACAGAAATAACCAAAGCAAATAATCAATTGAAATTACAAAAGTAACAAAAATAATAGTATTTAGTTCAATGCACATGTAATTTTCAGATGAATCTTGTAGTCTTCCTTACATTTATATATATATTATGTACCATTTCATAATGTGTACATATTATTTATATTTATATATATATATATAT